CTCTCTCTCTCTCTCTTTCTCTCTTTAAAAAAAAAAAGAGTGCATGATTTGAATAAGGTTTTAGGGTCTTTCAGTGAGGGAATCTGAATGGGATTAAGGGAAACTTCCCAAAGAAAAATGGATACAGCATAGTGAGGACTTTGCAGGTAAACTTTTTTTTTCTTTTTCTTTTTTTTAGAGGAGAGAGAGAGAGAGAGAGAGAGAAATAATTTTTTTTTAATATTTGTTTTTCAGTTTTCGGTGGATACAGCATCTTTATTTTATTTTTATGTGGTGCTGAGGATTGAACCCAGCGCCCTGCACATGCCAGGCGAGCGCGCTACCACTTGAGCCACATCCCCAGCCCCTTTGCAGGTAAACTTGACAGGCCCAGCTGAGCAATCTGTTGTTTGGAGCAGGAAGCTGTTACCCTGATGAAGGCTAGTGGAATAATGCTTAGATGAATAGATTGTCAGGAAGTTCCCAAAATAAACAATAGTTATTTGCAACTTCCTCTTCCTAGACAAGAATTTCCTGGAATAGTAGTCATGTTAATACAATGAGTTGAGTAGTAAAAGTCAGTTCTGAGTCCAGTAGCTCACATTCTAAGTCAAAAACTTCCCTGTTTTGGGCTGGGATGTGGCTCAGAGGAAGAGCACTTTCCTAGCATGCACGAGGCCTTGGGAATGCCCAATAATGAAAGAAAAAAACTCTTTGGGGGACAGCTACCTCTCTTTGGGAACTGCTCAGAGGTGCGATCAAGCAGACCTGACTGTACCAACAGCACCAGCTCCCATGCTGCTGCCCAGGCGACAAGCTGGAATCTTCTGTTCCTGCCTCATCTGAAAGCTGCTGAGCTTTGGGTGCTTCTGTCTACTGTTTGTCCTTAAGGTGGCTGAGCTTCAGAGGTCTTGCTGAGAGTCATAGAATCTCTGCCTAAGATGCCCAGGTAACAGGAGCTGGGGTGGAGTGCGGGGCCAGGGAGAAGTGGAGCCCGAGGAAGGTGGACTTCCAGGCAGGAGTGCTTTGCATAAGACACCAGGTAAACATATGAAAACATATGCCATCGGGTTTAGAAACCAGCAAGAGACTGAGTAAATACAGGTTTCCTGAAATGTGATGGAGTTGGGCTTGATGATATAGGGGGATTGAGTCTCAATCCCAGGTACACAGGAGGCTGAGGCAGAAGGATGGCAAGTTTGAGACCAGCCTGGGCGACTTAATGAGACCTTGTCTCTAAATAAATAAATAAATAAATAAAATGCAAAATATGGCTGGGGATGAGGCTTAGTGGTTGAGTGACCCTGAGTTCAATCCCTGGTACCCACCCCCATGAAAAAAGAATTGAAGTTTAGCCAGGGATGGTGGTGCATGCCTGTAATCCCGGTGGCTCAGGAGGCTGAGGCGAGAGTATCCTAAATTCAAAGCCAGCCTCAGCAACTTACTGAGGCCCCATGTCTAAATAAAAACTATAAAGAAGGGCTGGGGATGTAGCTCAGTTGGGAGAGTACTTGTCTCACATGCGCAAAGCCCTGGGTTCAATCCCCAGCACAAAAAAAAAAAAAAAAGAATTCTTTTGAGGGCTGGGGTTGTAGCTCAGTGGCAGAGCACTTGCCTAGCATGCATGAGGTACTGGATTCAATCCTTAGCACCACATATAAGTGAACAAGTAAAATAAAGGTATTCTGTCCATCTGCAACTACAAAAAAATTTTTTTTAAACTATAAAGAAGGGCTGGGAGACTGGGGTTGTGGCTCAGTGGTAGAGCGCTTGCCTACCATGTGCAATGCCCTGGGTTCGAACCTCAGCACCACATAAAAATGAATAAAAAAAATAAAGATACTGTGTCCAACTACAACTAAAAAATGAACATTGAAAAAAAGAAAGGCTGGGGATGTGGCTCAGTGTTTAAGTGTCCCTGGGTTCAATCCCCAGTACCAGAGAGAGAGAGAGAGAGAGAGAGAGAGAGAGAGAAAGAGAATTAAAATTTATCAAACACTTTTTTTTCTTCTTTATCTTATTCTTTTTGTGTGCTAAAATATACATGTAAAATTTACCATTTTACACACTTAGCTTCTGTACAACAAGGGGAAGAATGCTCTGAGATAGAATTCCATTCCCAGCCATTTTTATTTATTTGTTTGTTTGTTTATTTTTCGGTACTGGGGATTGAACTTAGGGACACTGAACCACTGAGCCACATCCCCAGCCCTATTTTGTATTTTATTTAGACACAGGGTCTCACTGAGTTCCTTAGGGCCTCACTGTTGCTGAGGCTGGCTTTGATCCTCCTACCTTAGCCTCTTGAGCCACTGGGATTACCGGTTTGTGCCACTATACTCAGCTCTTTTTTTTTTGTTGTTGTTGTTTAATATTTATTTTTTAGTTGTAGTTGGGCACAATACCTTTATTTACTTATTTTTATGTTGTGGTGAAGATCGAACCCAGAGCCACCCACATGCTACGTGAGCACTCTACCACTGAGCCACAACCCCAGCCCTCCATTTTTATTTTTATTTTTGAGATAGGGCCTCACTAAGTTGGTGAGAGTGACCTTAGAACTTACCATCCTCCTGTCTCAGCCTCCTGAATGATTGGGATCACTGGCATGGGCCACCTTGCCCAGCTTGAAATACTTTTTGATATCTACTAATGTTATGTTTTCCTCCTTTGAGATATTACTATTGTGATTTTCTAATGGCAACATATCTGCATTCTTTTTTTTTTTTTTTTTTTGGTACCAGGGATTGAACTCAGGGGCACTCCATCACTGAGCCACATCCCCAGCGTGCGGAAAGCTGGCTGTGAATTACATGAAGAGCTTCTGTCGGTATGGAAGCCAGGGAGATTTAGGTTTGGCATTGTGAACTATCTGTGGCTCTCATGCGGCAACATATTGCCCAGTGCACATGACCTTTATCTCTGCTCTGCTAGGAAGATCCCTCATAGTAGCTCTGGAGATGAGTGTAACCCATTAGGAACTAGACAGCTCACCTTTAACCTTTCTTGGTGAAGAACATTCTATGGAAAGCCTTTCATGTTCCCCAATATAAATAAAGCAAGAGCAGGCTCCATTTTGCCAGTCTAGAAGCTCTATCCGTCTGATTGGCTTGCCCATCCACCCCTGCTTGTGAGATTACTTTCTGTGTCCTGTGGATTTTTCGTCATTCTATTTTTCCTAGAATTTATTTCTCAGCCAACTTATTCCACCTAGGGGAACCCCATTTCCATTGTTCACATGAAACCAGCTCAACATTATTTTGTATTTTTTTTAGAGATAGGGTCTTACTGAGTTGCTTAGCATTTCGCTTTTGCCAAGGCTGGCTTTGAACTCACGATCCTCCTGCCCTCAGTCTCCTGAGCTGCTGGGATTACAGGTGTGCACCACCACACCCGGCTTACATATCTGCATTCTTGAACTGTCCTCCATTTCATGGCAGTATATTCAATTCTTAATCCCCTTTAGATTACATTAGCTGACGTTTTGATTTTTCAAAAGTGTGCACCAGTGTGTATAAGTGATACTGGTCCTCCATAGCTTTTTGTTTTTGTGCATGTTTGTATTATGCTTGTTGAGTTTGGAAAGCAGATTTATTCATTCATCCTATAAGTTACCTAAGACTGCTGACTGTGTGCCAGACACAGTTCTGGACTCCTGGAGCAAGACTGTCTTGCGGCTAGGGGTTTGGCACATCAGGAGTGCACTTGGCTTGGCAAGTGTGAGGCCCTGGGTTCTGCCCCCAACACAGTATAAAGGAGACTGTCTTTGTGGCTTTAACATTCTTTTGGGGAAAGGTCATTCCAGCTTCATAAAACACATCTGGAAAGTTTTCTTTACACTCTTTAAAACACTAGAGTTACCTGTATCATGTACTTATTTTGATTATTAATGTACTATTAATGTATCAATGTACTTCTGAGTCTTTTTAAATTCTCAATATGTTTTCATTTTCATTCACAGCACTTGGAGAGTGTGCTGACTTGCTTTGTGCTCTGTCTGCTATATCGTCTGTCTCACCTTACTGCTCAGATTTGGTGATGGATGTGGAGGGATGTTTTGTACCCAAGCAGGGAGTGTGCCTTTAGTTATGTGGTGCTCACATTTTCTGTTTCTTCATGGAGCAGTTACCTTGGAGGGAACCCTGTAGACAGAAACCTCCCTCTACGGTGCTAGATTTTTCTGTTTCTCCCTAAAGGTCTGTCAACTTTTGCTTGAACTATTTGGGATCTATTTTAACATTATTCCTAAAATGATTTGTTTTATACCATACTCTGTTCTAACTGGTGTCAATATAGCTGTGCTAGCCTTCTATGGTAACTAGGTGACTGTTGGATCTTTTTTCTCATTCTTTCTCATGGAATCTTTCCAAGGGCATATGTCTTAGGTGTGTCTCTATTCCACAGCATTTGCTTGAAGATTGTTGCTTTTGATCCAATGTGACAACCTCTAATCTCTGACAGTTCCCCATCAGACCTCCTCAAGGAGCTACTGTTGTTATTTGTTGTATCTGTCCTGGCAGAAGCCCCCCAGTGGAGCCAGCTCAGGATCCCCACATGTTCCTGTTCATTAGGAGTGCCACAGAATCAGCTCCTCTGTTTGGAACAATCTGGAAAGAAGCCCATCTGAATTTCCAAGGTGAAGAGTTTCAATTGGCAAATATTATTTCCGCACAGCATGCCAGTCAAGGGTAGGGAATTCCCTGCTAAAGCTGAAATGCAGGGATACTGAGTCTTCCCTGTGTCCCTACTCTTAGATATTTTTATATTTGTTTATTTATTGGTGCTGGGGATGGTACCCAGGACCTCACACATGCTGGGCAGACACGCTATTGCTATGTCATGTCCACAGGTCCCTGTATCCATGCTCGACCTGTGATACATCTTAAAGTAATTTAGGGGCTGGAGGGAGTGGGAAATGAGAAGTTAGGGTTTAATATGGATGCAGTTTCAGTTTTACAAGAAGAAAGGAGTTCTGGTGATAAGAGTGAGGAAGATCAGACATTGTGAATGTATTGACTGTTTGTTTGTTTGTTTGTTTGTTTATTGTGATGATAGAGCCAGACATGGTCATGCACACCCCAATCCCAGCTACACAGAAAGCTGAAGCAGGATGATCCCAAGTTGTAGGCCAGCCTGGGCAACTTAACAAAACTCTCTCTCAAAATAAAATAAGGACTGAGGATGTGGTTCAGCAGGAGAATACCCCTGGGTTCAATCCCATTAAAACACACACACACACACACACACACACACACACACACACACACATTTTCAAAATGAAATCTGGATCCAAAGTTCTCACAGCGAGGGCTCCCTGGAATACAGTTACAGACAAGAGTGAACAGAAGGAAATCCCAAGCTCCACTTTGGCCACTTCCTAGGTCTATGAACTTGAAGGTTATTTAGCTTCTCTAAACTCATTTTCCTCTACAGTAAGCCTTCAGTAACTGTCAGCTAATGTCAGTGAGACTCATGTCCCCTTATCTGTAATACAGCTGTGAGACTGCAATGGCTCTTCCTTGCAGGGTGAATCTGTGGCAAACTTAGTGTTGCCCAGCCTCAGCCTCTTACCCAGGCCTCACTACCAGCCTACACCTTATGAGAGAGGAAATACAGACACCCAAGACCTCACAGTTAGTGAACAGCTGGGACCAACCTCAACTTTTTAAAAAAATCTTGTGGTTAATGGGGCTGGGGGTGTAGTTCAAGAGGTAGAACATGTGCTTATTATGCACAAGATCCTGACTTCCATCCTCAGCACTACCAAATATTGTGCTTACATACACATAACAGAAAATTCACCATCTTAATCTGTTGATTAATCAGTTGCAATGGTGGATTGAACCCAAGGGTACTCAACCACTGAGCCATATCCCAACCTTTTCAATGTTTTATTTTGAGACAGAATCTTGCTAAATTGCTGAGGGCTTCACTAAGTAACTGAGGCCAGACTCAAATTTGCAATAGGCATCCCTCAACCTCCCAAGTGAATGGAATTTTAGGCATGTGTCTTTTTTTTTTTTTAATGGATACCTGGGATTCAACCCAGGCATCTGAGCCAGATCCCTAACCCTTTTTAATATTTTATTTAGAGACACGGTCTCATCGACTTGCTTAGGACCTCACTAAGTTGTTGAGGCTGGCTTTGAACTCATGATCCTCCTGCCTCAGCCTCCTGAGCTGCTGGGATTATACGTGTACACCATAGCTCTTGGCTGGCACAAGTCATGTTAACCTTTTTTTTTTCTTTTCTTTTTTTGGTACTGAGGATTGAATTCAGGGGCACTCAACCACTGAGCTACATCCCCAGCCCTATTTTGTATTTTATTTAGAGACAGGATCTCACTGAGTTGCTTAGCGCCTCGTGGTCACTGAAGCTGGCTTTGAATTTGTAATCCTCGTGTCTCAGCCTCCCAAACTGCTGGGATTACAGGTGTATGCCACTGTAGCTGGCCATCTTAACCATTTTTTTTCTGTGTGTGAGGTGCTGGGGATTGAATCCAGGACCTTATGCATGCGAGGCAAGCTCTACTAATTGAGCTCTATCCCCAGCCCCATCTTAACCATTTTTAAGTGTACAGTTCAGCAGCATTATGTACAGTGTTGTGCAACTGTCACCACCATCCATCTGTAGAAGCTTTTCATCTTGCAAATCTGAATGAAACTTTGTGCCCATTAAATGCTAAGTCCTTGCTTTCCTCCTTCTAGCCCCTGTCACCCAGCATTCTAGTCTCTGTCTCTATGGATGTGATTACTCTAGGAACCTCCTATGAGTGGAACAATGCAGTAATTGTCCTTTGGTGCCTGGCTTCTTTCTCTAAACATCATGTCCTCAAGGCTCATCCATGTTGAGTGTCAGAATTTCCTGTGTCTGTGTGTGTGTGTGTGTGTGTGTGTGTGCGCGCGCGCGCATTGCTAGGGATGGAACCCAGGATTCTGTACATGCTAAGAAAAGCACTTTACCACTGACCTACATTCGGACCCAGAATTTTCTTCTTTTTTAAGGCTGAATAACATTCCATCATGTGGCTAGGCTGCAATTTGTGTAGCTACTCATCTATTGATAGACATTGAGCCGTGACTATCTCTTCACTATAGTGAATGATGCTGCTGTGGTGGTAGCTGCTCCCAAGTCTTTTGTGGATGTACCCAGAAGTAGGATTATTGGATCAAATGGTAAGTCTAATTTGAATTTAAAAATATTTTTTTGTGTGTAGTACTGAGCATTTAACCCAGGTTCATTTTATCACATTCCCAGCTCTTTTTATTTTCTATTTTGAGACAGAGACTCACTAAGTTGCCCAGTCTAACCTTGAACTTTCAATCCTCCTGCCTTGGCCTCCAGAGTCATTGGAATTACAGGCATGACCAATGCATGTGAGTATTTTTAGTTTTCTGAGGCAACCTCAATTTTAAGTTGGGAAAGGCAAACAAGAACAAAAGGGAAATGTAGGTTATCCTGAGCAGATCAGCACATAGTAAATAAACCCTGTGACCACACCAAGGCTGGTAAGGCTATGGTGCAGCAGGAACTCAGGGGCACTAATTTCAGCACATTGGGAAGCATGTAAGTACCAAGAGGCATGCAGGGGAATGTGCCCAAGCGGAGCTGTTGTGAGCAATAGCAGATGGGAAACTACCCCACAGCCCTGGGACACTGGGAAAATCTGCCATTGATCCAGTCCTTTAATGGGTTTGACAAGGCTCTGGACAGTGTGTTGCATGTAGAGAAGGTGGCAACACTACTTGTGCATATACCACAGGAAGGAAAGGAGCCACACATGCTGGATGGTGGTTTGCCTCTGGGGCAGGAGGGCAGGGTTGGACCCCAGCTGAATCTGTTACGTTTCCTGTCTTTCAAGGAAAGAGACCTGAGCTGGCTGCCATGGTAGCAGTGCAGACACCCTGGCTGAGGCCCCAGGCAGAAGTCAGACGAGGCAGAGAAAAAAGAGGCAGAAGTAAATCTGCCAGAAATCAGTGAGCAAGTGTTCTGAAGAGAAGCAGAGCAAAGATCAAAGTGAAAGGTGGCAACGGAAGAATGACCAGAAAAACATGAGAAAGGTTAAAAGGACCTGGCCTGCCACCAGTGTCAAAGAAACCCAGCTCTGGGGAAAAGATGGCCACACACTGGACAAAGGTACTCGCTGGCCACCTGGTCAGTTAGCAAAGGACAGCATTCTGTCAGCACCAAAATAAAACAAGGCTGACAACACCTAGGACCCAAAACTTCCATTCTGAAAGTGTAGATGTGCTCCTCACGCCTTCAAGGGGGGAAAGAAATGTTTACCTGTTGGATAAGCCTCTTTCTGTGTGTGTTTTGTGGTCATGGGGATTGAACCCAGGGTTGCTATACCACTGAGCTTCATCCCCAGTTTTTTACTTTTTATTTTGAGATAGGGTTCACTCAGTTGCTGAGGCTAGCCTACAACTTGCAGTCCTCCTGTCTCAGCCTCCTGAGTTGCTGAGATTGAAGGCGTGTGCCATCCTGCTTGCCTGCAGTTACCTCATTTTAAAAGCCAAGACAACCTCTCCTTTGTTCTCCCAGGCTACATTGAAATATCTCATACACAGTGCTGGCATTTCCTTTCCTCCATGAAACATGATCATGAGATGAGAGTGGCACTTGCCTTTTTTAGAAATACAAATTTGACCTTTGATAATAATTTTGGAATAATTATTATTTTAGATTACTTTTTTAGTGTGGTGGTCGACATCAAACCCAGGGCCTTGTGCATACTAAGCACATGCTGTACCACTGAGTTACTCTCATGGCCCTTAGAATAATTTCATAATGAAAATTTTGTAGTGAAAAATCTGAAGCAGCTATGGGATATGTTGATTTAACAAAGCCAGCTCATGTGTACACAGGTATCATCTAGCCACCCAGAAAACTGTTTTCAAGCAAGACCAGAAGTCCAAAACCTGTAAAGAAAAAGACAAACATATATGAATATATAAATGTTCAGCCATTTTGTTCTCAGATGCCCATAAAGTCAAATGACAAACAATACATTAAGAAAATACATTTGTCATCCATATGACAGATGATGACTTAATACCTATAATATAAAAGAAGCTCCTGCAAATTGATGAGAAAGACAGCCCCCAAATGGGAAAAGGATATAAACAAGCAATTTACAGAACAAACTCAAACTTGCAACAGACACATGCACATTAGTCATGTGTATGTGTGAGAGTGAGAAAAGAGAAAGGTGCTGAATTAAAGTCACAATGAGATTTCCCCATGCCACATTGGCACAGCATGAAAATGAGTGCCAACCTTTTGCTTTGGGGAAGATTCTGAAGTTGCTGGTAGAAATGTGAATCATGACTGTCACTGGGAAAAGCGATCCATGGATTAAAAATACAAACTCTTTTGTTTTTTTTTTTTTTCCTTTGGTATTGAGGATGGAACCCAGGTCCTTGTACATTGTAGGCAAGTGCACTACCACTGAGCTGTATTACCAGCTCTTCTCACTTCTTCTTCTTCTTCTTCTTATTATTATTATTATTATTATTATTATTTTGGTACTGGGGACTGAACTCAGGGTGCTTAACCACAGGACATTGCTAAGTTGCTCAGGCTGTTCTTCAACTTTCAATCCTCCTGCCTCAGCCTCCTGAGCTGCTGGGATAACAGGTGTGCACCACTGTACACAGCTAACTACAAGTGCTCTTCAGCTTTGCAATCCCTCCTCCCCAAACTGCCAAACTGAATGGAGGAAGCTGTGCTTCAGGACACAGAGGCAGAAGCATGCAGCCTCCAGCATTAAGCAAGGACCACAGCCTGTCATTAAGGCAAAGCAGGGCCTGCGAGCAACTGCATGGGTGTCTGTGGGTTGGTGATAATTGACCTCTGTATGTTCCATATGAACTGAAGGGCATGAGGGTACACGTAAGACCCAGGTTGGGGAGGAGGGAAGGTGACAACAGTAAATGTGGCTAGATCAAGCAGTATACGTGTGTACTACTGAACCCACTGTGGCTGCGTGTGAAGAGACACCTGTGAAGCCAGAGCCACCACAATCCTGACAGACTTCTTAGATTGTTGTGGGTGACGTTTACATTCTTCTGTATGTTGTTTCTTTCTTTCCCTTCCAATGAGCTTTTATTGTCAACACAATTACAGCGAAAACAAACATTTTTTTTCTGTGGAGAAAATGCCCAGTCATGGTACCAGAAAGCACTTCTTCAAGGAGAGAGCTTTGACCCTAGAGGCAGGCTGCCTGGGCTTCTGATCCTCAGGGTTGTGACTTTCAGCCAAGTGGAACCTCTCTGGTTTCAGTTTCTTATTCTGTGAAGTGAGGGGCCCCACACAGATGGTTTCTGAGATCCCTCCTGGCTTAGGAAGCTCTAAACCGTTAGGTCAAAGGTTGGGGGAGGCCCCATCTGGCAACCATTGGCTCCCCAGCTGTGCAGGGGTCTCATGGAGCACCAAGACCAAGATGAAGAACAGAGCAAAGGGAAAACTGGGATGCAGAAAGCTATAGAAGTATACATGGGCTATGCATGCTGGTGCACTCCTGTAATCGCAGCAGCCCAGGAGACTGAGGCAGAAGGACCACGAGTTCAAAGCCAGCCTCAGAATGGTGAGGTGCTAAGCTACTCAGCAAGATCCTGTCTCTAAATAAAATATTAAAAAGGGTTGAAGATGTGGCTCAGTGGTTCTGTGTCCTTGAGTTCAATCCCTGGTATCTTCCCCCTCAAAAAAGAAGGGAGCCCCATGTTCCAAATTGGGGTTGTTGACTATATATTCCCCCAAAATGACCACCAAAAAAATCTACCAATGCCGAGTGCAGTGGTACACACCTGTAATCCCAGTGGTTTGGGAGGCTGAGACAGGAGGATCCTGAGTTCAAAGCCAGCCTCGGCAACAGTGAGGCCCTAAGCAACTCAGTGAGACCCTGTCTCTAAGTAAAATACAAAATAGGGCTAGGGATGAGGCTTAGTGGTCAAGAGCCCCTGAGTTCAATCCGAGGTATCTCCCCCAAACCAAACAAAACAAAAGAGTAAAGACAACAGATCCAGCAACAAGACTGAACCCCCATGGAGGTGCTGCATACCACAGGACAGCAGAGCAGAGGCTGAAGAAATCCAGCCAGGAGTCCCCTTCCTCTAGCATCTCAGGGGTAATGAGCATCTGATAGCTGCAGTCCAGGAATGAGGCACTGAGGTCTCAGGCCCAGAAGTGGGGTTTATCTGGGCAGGAAGGGACACAAGAAACTGCATGACTAAACCTGTCCCCACTTTGAGAAACACTGATCAGAAAATGCTGTGGAAAGAGAAGGTTCCAGGCCTTCTTCACCCTTTGCTCAACCTTACACAGGTCCTGGGGCAACATTTGGGATGCATTTGTGCTAAAACATTATTCATGGAGCCTGGGTGTAACCTGACAACCCTGAATGGGAGACTCAACAGGAGAAGAGTCAGCTTGCCCATCCCTACTTTGTATGCAGTCCACTGCCCTAGGGTTCCAGAGGAATAAAGGCCCCCTGGGATTCCCCCCTCAAAGTATTTCTCCATGAAACCACTGTGAATCACCCAAATCTTGAGTGTGACATCTGTTTCCTGTGGGGACTGTGCCTGACACAGGAGCAAAATGAAAACCAGAAGTCTCTCAGGGTTATTACATAGGTATTGGTAAAAAGAAAAACTAAAATAGTTACTGGTGCTTTTAGCTCAAAGGTATGGAATGAATACCTTAATGGTATTCATGAACCATTGACAAAGAAACAACAAAAGGAAGGGGTGGATGGGGGGTGGCTGGGATCCCTGATTAAGAGCTAGGTTCTCACTTCTCACCTGTCCCACCAGTTGCTGAGGTAAGGGCAGCTCTCTGGGGATAACCCGGACTTCTTCCTCTTCCAGGGCAGATGGAGCTTTTGAGACCTAACTTCAAACAGAACAAAGCTGTTTCCCAAGCAGATGCTACCCCTGGTATCCACCACTGGTGTATCTTGCCTCTGGGCCACAACCCCTGGGCCAGGGCCCACCACCTGCCCTAGACATTGAGAGAGGGACAAAGGTTGCCTGAGGCACTGGAATTTCCATAGGGTTTTGCAAGGTTTAATTGACACTCATCAGCCTGCCACCTACTTGAGAGGTTTCAAAAGTATCTCAGTAATCAAAGCCACAGTTGCAGGACAATATGCACACAAGGCTCTGGTGAGAGGGCCTTGAGGGTACTGAAAGGTACAGGGGCAGCCTGTCCTCAGAGGTCACTGGATGGAACAAGGTGTCATCTCTCCTTCGGTCTTGCCTTTGTAGCTGACCACTTATCTATTTAATTTGTGGATGGCCACTCAGATGAGCCTACATTATTGTCTACCTGTGAACAAGAAAATCTTAAACTACAAGATTTAGGCCTATAAACCAGAGGATCTGATTCCTTGGCTTTGGGTTCAAAAACTGTCATCATCAGCACACTCTGAGTCTCCCCAATGATGACAGACCCATGAATCTTTGGTAACCCTACTCTCTAAGGACAACTAAGACACACTGTGGACAAACCTCTCTATGGAGAATTCAACTTTTGACACTTCTGTTTCTTCACCTAGGCATGCACTGCCTTATTCCACAAAGGATCTGAGGTGACATGGCTTTCACATGACCTACCAACAACTAACATGAACATCAAGTCAGGCATTTTTTTTCATACCAGTGTTTGAACCAAGGGGGCACTTATCCACTGAGCTATATTCCCAGCTCTTTTATTCTTTCAGTTTAATATAATTTTCGGGGGGCAGGTACTGGGGATTGAACTCAGGAGCAGTCGTGCACTAAGTCACATCCCCAGCCCAGTTTTGTATTTTATTTAGAGACAAGGTCTCACTGAGTTGGTTAGCACCTCACTAAGTTGTTGAGGCTGGCTTTAAACACCCGATCCTCCTACCTCAGCCTCCTGAGCTGCTGGGGTTACAGGCGTGCCCACCATACCCAGCTATTCTTTTAATTTTATTTAGAAACAGGGCCTCACTAAATTGCAGAGGCTGGCTTTGAATTTATTATTATTTTCTTTAATATTTATTTTTTTTTAGTTTTCGGCAGATACAACATCTTTGTATGTGGTGTTGAGGATCGAACCCAGGCCGCACGCATGCCAGGCGAGCATGCTACCGCTTGAGCCACATCCCCAGCCCTGGCTTTGAATTTATAATCCTTCTGCCTCAGCCTCTTGAGCCACCGGGATTACAAGTGTGTGCCACAGCACCT